TGGGTGGATGGGTGGATGGGTGGATGGGTGGATGGATGGATGGATGGATGGGTGGATGGATGTTTTAGCTGTGTCAGCAAATAATGCCAGCATCTCAGCAACCTGGGATAAAAGAAGGCTCTTGGTGTTGGGCTATGGGGGGGAGACCTCCGAGGATAGAGCTATTACTGCAGTTGAGAATGTAGATCAGGACACTAAAAGAAGGAGGCTTGTTACTATCAGCCAAGGCTTTCTAGAAACTTCTTGCTTCCCCGCTAGGAAGTTTCTCCTCCATATATGCCTCCCAGCTGCTGGAAGGGAACGGTTTTCTGCCTTGACATGGGCTAGCTTCTAAAAATAAACAGAGCCAAATTATAGCCCTTTTCTTTTAGCGAGGGGGGAAGGTGGTCTGGGGAAGCTGTGGCATCCTATTCTCTCCTTCTACTATTTTGGAACTGGTCTTCCTGCAACCCAGTACCCTACTTCCTTCTTAGGATACCCAGAGCCAGAGGTGACCTGGTACAAGGATGACATAGAGCTGGACCGCTACTGTGGTTTGCCAAAGTATGAGATCACTCACCAGGGCAACTGTCACACGCTACACCTCTACAGGTGAGGGGAAGTGGCCCGTCCTGCTCTCTCTGCACTCCTAGGCGTCCTGTGGCCCCAGCAGAGATGGGCTCAGCTGGACACTGGTGTCCAGGCGGGATCCTAGGGTGGAGGGCAGGTTTCTGCTGCTGAGTTGAACCTGCTGGTGAGCTGTCTGCCTGCCAGGGTCTGGGATCTCCTAAGGCCAGGGTGGGAGGATTTCTGACAGCCAGAGAGTGAAGCGCAACCAGAGCAGGTCCCGACCCGTGGAAACATTTTCCATGAGGTCAGCTACCAAAAAAAGCTCCTGTGTCATCCTTACTTCACAAGGGGCTGTATGGGTCACCTGCTTCTGAAGGGAGCTCTCCTAGGCCTCACGTCTAATCCCTCCTGGAACAGCGTGACCTGGGCCAGCTCCCTCCCTGTTGCCAGCTTCAGTTTCCCCAACTGTAACGGGGAGTGTTGGATGCAGTGGCATCGGAGGTGGGGTGTGGTACTCAGGGGGGGGCACTTGTAGGGGGCGGGGCAGCATACTTATTTCCAGGAGATGCTGGTTGTAGGGTGTAGGGCCTCTCACCTGGCAGGAGGGGAGAGTCAGCATCTCGCGCTCCTACATTTAGGTGTCAAGAGGAAGATGCGGCCATCTACCAGGCCTCTGCCCGGAACACCAAGGGCATCGTGTCCTGCTCGGGGGTCTTGGAGGTTGGCACTATGACTGAGTACAAGATCCACCAGCGCTGGTTCGCCAAACTGAAGCGCAAGGCTGCGGCAAAGATGCGAGAGATTGAGCAGAACTGGAAGCCCAGGAAGGAGGTGGTGGGGGATGCCGACACTCTGCGTAAGCTCAGCCCCGACCGCTTCCAGCGGAAACGGCGACTGAGCAGGGATGAGGTGTTAGTGGCCTCAGCCCCCGCCAGGGAGGCTGAGGACGGGACCCCAGCAGCTTGGCAGGAGGAAGAGGCTGAGCCTGGTCAGCACCCAGCTTTGGGCCTCATCAACAGTTTTGCTCCTGGAGAGGTGACCACCAATGGGGAGGCTGCCCCCGAGAACGGGGAGGATGGGGAGCACGGCCTGTTGACGTACATCTGTGAGGCCATGGAGCTGGGGCCTCAGCGAGCCCTCAAAAAGGAGTCTGGGGCCAAGAAGAAAAAGAAAGACGAGGAACCTAAGCAAGGTCTACGGAGGCCAGAGTTGGAGAAGGCAGCTCGAAGCCAACACTCTTCCGAAAGCCGTGCCCCTAGTTCAGACAAGCCTGGGACACAGGGGCCCACGGACATGGAGCAGGTCCAGACCCGGCCCAGAGGCAGGGTTGCACGGGGGCCTGGGGCCTCTGGAGCAGATAGCCCCAGGAAGCCAGCTCCAGCTTCAGGCACTCAAGAGCAGGCCCAGAATGCTCCAGCTCCAGGCCCCGTCCCAGGCCCAGACCAGCAAGTGTACTTCTCCCTGAAGGACATGTATCTGGAAAGCACCCAGGCGGGCAGGCCGAAGGGGGAGGAGGGGTCCCAGACCCCAAGTGGCAGGGCACCTGGAAAGATGCCCTCGGGGAAGGTACCCAGTGAGGCTGGAGGTGAAAGGGGGCCTGTTGCCCCTGGCCAGCCCACGTCCTCGGCCCCCCAGCCAACTAGGCCTTTCAACAGGAAGAGATTTGCCCCTCCGAAGCCCAAAGGGGAGCCCACCGCCGACAGCAAGCCCGATTCTTCCCTGAGCCAAGCTCCAGAACCAGGGGCCCAGAGCTCAGGGAAGGCCCTGCCTCAGGCCTCTGCCCAAGTGCCCACACCCCCTGCCCGGCGGAGACACGGCACCCGGGACAGCCCCCTGCAGGGGCAAGCAGGCCACAGGATTTCGGGAGAGGTAAGTGTGGGTGTTGGGTGCCTGGAGGCTGCTCTGGGAAGCTGACCTCATGGAAACTCTTGCTCCAAGAGCTTGGCAGCCAGTGAGCGGTGGGCTATTTATAGAAGAGGGTGAGGTGGTGATGGAGTGCCAGCCAGGAGCAGGAGACCACAGGCCTAGCCTTAGCCCCAGCCAATCTCCAGATGCCAGGCATGAGGGCAACACAGCCTGCATGTGACCCTACCCTCTGACAGCCTGGGAGCTCGCGGCCGAGGGGGAGGGAGGGAGGTGGAGGGAAACGATGTTCTTTGGGGAGGAAAGAGCCAGGGGACGGTTTTCTTGGGGGTATACTGAGGCAACAGTGTCTCATGGGGAGACTGAGGAGCTGGGGTGAGCTGTCGTGTGCGGTGGGTCTCGACCTGGATGCTTCTCAGAAGATTCTTAAAAATATCGACTGTCCAGGAAATTCTGGTTTAATCTGGGTTTTTATCTAAGATTTTGGAGTCAGGTATACCTATGGGCAAATCTGACTATGCTTAACATCTGGTGATTGGGGCAAGTTGTAAAATCAGAATACAAATCCTACCTAATTCGTAGGCTGTTGGGAGAATCTGTCTGCTCAGCGGAGGGCCTGGTGCATGTTAAGAACTGACTAAATGGCAGAAGGAATAATACACTAATAATTACTACAGTGGGGGATAGAAGCCAACTCTTTTCCTTGGGAACAGGAGGGTCATCATTTTCCGGGGGCCAGGTGGCCAACGGAGGGAAGGTGATGCTTTGTGTGGAGGTAGGGATGGGGGTATCCACGTTTCAAAGAAGAGGTGGGTGACAGCACTGAGGAGTTTGGGGAGCGGGGATGGAGGAACAACAATGAGCGGAGTGACAGAGGGAAACACTGTGTTCCCTTTGGTCAGTGCTGCATGTCTCAGGGGGCAGAGGGCAGGCAGTATTTTATTTTTATTTCTATTTTTTAAAATTTTTTTGAGCGAGGGAGAGAGAGCGTGCGCACATGAGCAGGGGGAGAGGCAGAGGGAGAGGGAGAAGCCGACTCCCCGCTGAGCAGGGAGCCCCACGATGCAAGGCTCAACAAAGCGGGGCCGGATCCCAGGACCCTGAGATCATGACCTGAGCCGAAATCTAGAGTCCAACGCTCAACCGGCTGAGCCACCCAGGCGCCCCGAGGGCAGGTGGAGTTTTCCAGAGATGGTTTTAAGGTGGGCAGAAAAAAGGCAATATTTCTTACCAGTGGCAGAAAGGAAAAGTATTTCAAGAGCGGGGGCAGACGGCAGAAGGGACAAGCTGCCTGCCTCTGGACCTCGTTGCGGGGGGGGGGGGGGGGGCGGCAATGGGAAGGGGCGCTTCACAGACGACAGGCGGGGAGGGAGGGAGAGACCGGTCTCAAGGGTGGTGCTGAGTTAGTCTGTGGGGATGGTAGTTCAGAGGGTTTGGGAGTGGGCCGAACCTCAACCCAGACTCTCGAGTCTGTTGGTGACTCAGCCCTCACGCTTGGTCTCTGGGGATGTTGGCAGCCATGTGATGAGTTCCTAGTGGCCTGGATGGGGCCGCTCTGTGTGCCTGATGCAGCCCACAGGCAGGGCCCCCAAGGGAGCTCATTTGGGAAGCGACCAGGCCGGCAGCCAAGTTTGACGAAGGTGGCCTCCCCACCCACAGTGGTGGGGACACCCTCCTGCCAGGGCCCTCCTTGCCTCTCCACTGTCCCTGCAAGATGCTTGTGTGGCTTTTACTTTTCTTTGCTTGGAAAATTGTGACATAGATCACCCGCGTGAAAAACGCATTTAACATCTATGTATACGGTGAAGCTGCTGCTTTTTAGTGGCTGAATTTGATTGTTTTTTTTTTGTATTCTCATTTTACCGTGTCTTTAAAAAATATCTTTATTTTTCTGATTATGAAAAAAACCCATGCTCCTGGTGAAAAATATGAGGGGAAACCCCTAAAAATTCAATGGGGAAAGTAACAGCTCACCTGTAATTCTGCCATCGAGAAGCATCGTGATGTATCTACCAATCTTTCTGTATATGCAATTTTCCTATTTTTAAAATTTAGTGTGTGCTCTTCTTCTGACTCAATCTTATATCGTGCTTTTTGTTCTTCTCATTATTTCATGAGCATTTTCTCATGGTTCCTAAAAATTATCTGGAAAACTTTAATGGTTGTATAAGGTGCCACATATAGTTTAACCATTCTTTCCATAGTTTATGCATTCCTTCTCTATTCTAAGGTTAGTTAAGTATTAATCTACATTTTAAAAATAATTTTTATTGTTTGAATTTCTCCATTTGACTTTTAAATTAACCTGAAATTGATTTGAGTATATAGTATAGAATTAGTTTCCCGCTCAATTTTTGGTTAATTAAATAGGTAATTTCCCCCAAATATCATTTGTGGAATATTTAACTCTTAGATATTAGTTTGTGGTTCTTTCTTTATATACTAATTTTTATACATACTAAAGCCTAGTTTAGTTCCTATATACACCTATCATAATCCATTAATCTGTTTATTGATCCTTACAACAGAATGATCTTGTTTTAATGATTGTGGCTTTAATTTCTGGCAGAGCAACTCTCTTAGACTTCGTTTAAAAATTTTCTTAGATATTCTTTCTTGTTTATTCCTCTAGCGAAACTTGAGAATCATTGTTTGAAATTCTTTAAACTTCCAGATGTCACTGTGTTTTTTTGTTTGTTTGTTCAGTTTTGTTGTTGTTGTTTTTAACCTTGTACCTGTATATTTGCCACTTTAAAAAAAAATCACATTTAAAAAAAAGTGGTAAGCTATTTTTAACAAGATCAAAAGCCTGTTAAATCTTTTCATGGAAAACTCAAGTCCGCTTTGTATTTGGAATGATCTTTTAGTAAAACTTGCTAGATATATATTTTAAAACAGCTTGATTGAGGTATAATGTATATACCGTAACATTCACTTATTTCAAATGTGCAATTTAATGTACGCAGTTTAGAGTTATGAAGATGCTCCTGAAATTTAGTTTTCAAACATTTTCATCACCCTAAAAAGATTCTTGTTCCTTTTTTGCAGTTCATCCTTGTTCCCACCCCCTAGACCCAGGCAACCACTAATGTGCTTTCTGTCTCTGTATCATTGGTGTTCTGATTGGGATTATAGTAAGTATAGGAATTAATTTGGAAAAACCCCTATTTTTAGCTTTCTCATCTGTCAGCATGGTATTCATTGCCATTATTCAAGCCTTCTTTCATATCTCTTTTTAAGTTATGTTGTTTTCTTCATATGGGCCCAGCATGTGTCTTGTTCGGGTCAGGTACTGGAAGGATCTCTGCCTCTGGGATATGATGCCACAGCTCCCCTCCTCTGTCTCGATTTCCTTTCCCAGATATAGGGGATATCTCCAGCAGTTCAAATTAGGCTTCCATATTGGATATGGATGAGGAGTAGATGTTGGGATTGAGACCTCTTGGGTTGTGAAGAATGTCCAGACACCACCATCCCCTCACCCCCCGCCTTGAGCCCAGCAATGCTGTGCAGACAGCTCTTTCCCTGGGCAGAAGCAATATCCCTGAAGGTACTTAGTGAATGGGAACTGGCCTTCAGTGCCCTCCAAGACTGCTTTTTAGTGCCCTAGCCGAGATCTTCTCTGAGACTGGCTTAGATCTCTGGAGCTGAGGTACAGGAATGTGGGGACATGGTGGAGTGCCCCATCTTCCCAGATTCTTGGAGGGGACAGTGTACACATGGCAGATCTCTGCTGAATGCCTTGAGACCTCAGAGTATCTCTTCTTGGGAAACCCTGGAAGTCTTTTTTTTTTTATGATTTTATTTGAGAGAGAGAGAGAGCACAAGCAGGAGGAGTGGCAGAGGCAGAGGGAGAAGCAGCTCCCTGCTGAGGAGGGAGCCCTACGTGGGGCTCGATCCTAGGACCTGGGGATCACGACCTGAGCCGAAAGCAGACGCTTAACCGACTGAGCCACCCAGGTGGCTCCCTTTTTTTGTTTTTGTTTTTGTTTTGTTTTTTTGATGGACAGCCAAGGTTTTTGTTTTTTGTTTTTTGTTTTTTTGATGGGCAGCAAAGTTTTTTGAGAAATAGTACAGAGTTCCCCAAGAGGGAGGGGACCTGAGAGGGCTTTCCAGGAAACCCTGTGAGTCTTGAGGATAATCATCCCAAGGTTTGGAAACCCCACTCCCATAATAAGAGATCTTTGGTTTTCAGAGAATACGTGAATACAAGTATTTTCGGAAAGCTGTTGAAGGAAGGGGGGCTTGAGGAGAGACATGATCCTTAAGGAATTATCTAATGAATCTAGGGGATTAGACTTTATACAAAACCGTAAGTACAAAGAGGGTGTGGTGAATGGTTATTGCAGTAGGTTTCCAGGGAAGGAGAGTGGGATGGTCTGCAGTTTCTAGGGAAGGCATCTGGGAAGTGGCCAGATGGGCTGGCAACATGTAGAGGACTCATTACTGGAAATACCATAGGAGAAAAACATCAAATAGAAATTGTTGTTATTTTTTTAGTATAGAAGAATGCCCATAATATCCCAGGTTGAAAGAGCTTAGATAGGTGGGAGAGAGGAAGGAAGACATTCTGGGAAGGACACGGAGCATGAAGCAAAGGTAAGGTGGTGGGCTAGTGATGAATGCAAACCTGCCTGTCCTAGTCTTGATGCCCAGAAGCATTTAAAGCTTCTCTGTACTTTTTCTTCTCTTCTATGTCTTGTGTTCTGCTTTGTTTTTTTAGCCTTAACTGTAACATCATCCAGGCTTGGGGTGAGACATAGAGGGGAGAGAACTAACATTTATTGACTATCAGCTTCCAGTAATGCTAGGTTAGATAGTTCAGACGAACTCCCTATCAAGAACAACTAGTAAGGACATAGTGAAGAATTATTGGCCAAGGATATGGAAGGAGATGGAAAGCCAGAATGGTGAACCCAGTGTTTGGCATAGCTTTTATCCTGTGGCTATTTGCTACTCAAGAAGAGGAGAATGAGAGATTCAGCTGTGTTTAAGACAGCCTCATG